CCCAGTCGCCCCGCCCACCGCCTCGGGCCCCGCCCCGCAGGCCCCCCCCCCTGCCCGGCTTCCCGCACCCGCCCGGCGGGACGGAGAGATGGAACATCCGACCGGGACCACTCATCCCTTCAAGGAAGTTAGGCTGGGCCCGGGCTCTTCCTGCCCTCGCCATCTGTCCCCTTTTGCAGTGAGACTCATTGGTTGCCCCGGGGATTAGGGAAGGAAGGCTTCCTGGAGGTGGTGGCTTTTATGCTATGACTTGAGGGAGGAGAGAGCTGGGCAGAGGAGAGAGGAGAATGGGGCGGAGAGGCTGGGAGGGCAGAGGCAGGAACGGGAGCCTCTCAAAGCGGGCTTCCTCCTGGCGGGGTTTTCGCAGGGTGGGCATCTCATTGCATTCTCCAAGAGCTGAGGACACCTGGGACAGCAGGGCCATGCTGCCTGGCTTGGCACTGGGCACGTAGTAGAAATATTCCTTGGCCTCCTCCCGCCGCCCTATTCAGTGATTTACTGAGCCGTGGCGGTCTTTCTCCTAAACGCCTCTCCATGTCCCCCCCCTCCCCCCCCCGCGGTCTGGATAGGAACCCCACCTGTTGAGTGCTGGCTCCACCTGCACCCAGCCGTATGGCCTCCTGCTAGAGTCCCTCCACGCCATTTCTCTGCAGACTTCCTTCCCAGCCACAGACAGTACTGCTCCTTATTGAGCCTCCGGGTCAGATCAGGTGGTCCAGGTCGTCGGTGCCCCTCTGCCTGCCTGCGTCTGGAGCATCCTTCCTTCTCCGTCACACCCAGGCCCTTGCCTCTGGCCAACTCCGTGAAGCTCTCTTGACCCCAGCCCTGTGCCCTTCACTTCCCCTGTTGCGGTAGTCCTGTTGGCTCCGAAGGACAGGGAATTCTTTTGTCCAGGATGAAGCCAAGTTGGCAGTGCTGGCCTGGGGGGCAGCTGGAGTCAGTTGAGAGACAGAGGGTGGGGACATTGGACCACTGCCCTTTTCTTTGATGTTGGCCTGCGGCAGGGGGACTGGTGGACGTGGGAGTACCTGATTGTGGCTGCACAGCCCCCAAGGGCTGAGGTTCTGGGGGCAGCAGGTGGGTGCAGGGTGGGCCAGGCAGTTGCCCACCGCAGTGCTCTGTCTTCTGCTTCCTGTGAAGTGCCACAGGACAGCTCGTGCAGCCTTGTGGGCAGCCCACCGGTGCATTTCCACTGACGGGCGCGGGTCACCACAGCTGAGCTGGTGCTCGCGGCAGGCTATGGTGGACAGCTGGGGGGCTGGGGCAGCATTCCCTCAGGGTCCGAGGGACATAGGCTGGGCAGTGTATGCCACCAAGGGGCATCTGCAGCCCTTGGTTATTTGCCACATCCTGCTGGGAAGGCCTGGTGGACAGACAGACAGCCCAAAGGCAGGGGACCCTGTGGCTCTGAGGGGATGGGGCCATGTTTACACCCCAGATCGGTGCCTCCTTCCCAGGGCCTCAGAGGGCCTCTCTGAATTTTCTACTACACCTCACCCTGGCTGGACCTAAGGGTCTGATAAAGTTTTTGGTCTTGAGCTGAGAGGGTCCCTGAGACCACCATGGGATGACACTGAGACAGTTGACACAGGGGGCGGGGGTGGACAGCAGGCTCATGGCAGACTACAGGGAGGTGGGGGGGCAGGTCTTCCCTGAAGCCTGTTTTGGGTGGGTGGCTGGCCCCGGGGTGGCCGGATTTCAGGCAGGCCTGGACTTGCCTTGCGGAGGCGGTGCCTCAGTGGCCTCCTGGGCAGCCTGACCTGCTCAGGACATCAGCCATCCCCTCCCCTTGGAAACCCAGGCTGCCACTACCCCTCCCAGAACACCTCTGCCTCCAGAGCAAGCTCAGGCGGATATTGCTAACTCTCCTTAGACCTTCCTTGGAATGTCCTTCCCTGGAACGTCACCTCCTCCAGGAAGTCCTCACAGAGACTGTCCTTCAGTGTCCTCCCTCTTCTGCAACCCCAGATGCACTTTTTGTGTCTCTGGTGCTCGGGCCTACGTCCATTTCATGGTCTGGACAGATCCCACAGCAGGGGGCAAGCAACTGGCCAGGGCCTCAGGGCCTATTCGGACCAAGTGGCAAATGGGCCGAGCATGCTGGAGATGGTAGCCAACAGGGAAGGGCCCTAGGGCCCTCATCCAGCCCCCAGATGGGAGCCTGTCTTGCCCAGTGGTGTCCAGCTGTTGGGATTTTGGGCTCCTTCTACCAGCTGCCTCATACCCAGATCCCCACTGGCAATGGTCCTGTCTGCCCCAGCAGGCCCTGCTTCTTCCGTTCACTGAATGCTGCCCAGGGTCCTGGGAGCCTGCTGGGGCAGGGTGCTCAGGGTGGGGGAGTAGGAGGGTGGAGGGAAGGGGCAGAACAGCAGGGCTACGGGACGCGCGGGAGACAGCATGAGCCTGAAACAAGGCTGGGGATGGGGAGGGGGTCCCACTGTTGAGGCACCACATTGAATCACCACGTCCTGAGGTGTGATCTCTCACCTAGCTTGGGTGCCACCCTGCCCCAGCTTTTCCTGGTGCTGGCCCCTCCTGTCCTGTCTGCTTCTGTCAAGTGGCCCAAGGGAACTCCAGCAGTGGACACCTGACTTCTGCTCTGCCCACTTGGGATGCTCTGTGCCCTGCTGGTGAGGCATCATGTCCATGGTCCTTTCCACACTTGGTGACAGCATATACCTCCTTGCAGCCCCTCACACTCAGTCTGTGCCAGGTGGTGGTTCGTGCTGTGACTAGGATGCCTTTTCCTGCTCTTTGCCCTGGTTTTCTGCCTCACCCCTCTGGAGCATCGGGTCATCCTTGACCTTCCTGCCCAGGCCAGGCCACTTCCTCCACCCTGCCTGCTGCAGCTCCCGGCTCCCCATAGACCCCGGCCCTGAGCAGGTCTTCCTGGTTAGGATCTGGCTTCCTCCGCTCCCCAGAGCAGCTCTAGCCACGCTGGCAGCCCTCTGGCCCATTCTGACCACTGCCCTGCCTCTTTCAGAACGGTGTCCAGAAGTCGTGGGACTTCATGAAGACACATGACAGGTGAGAGACTGGCCTGGCTGCTGGGGAAGCCCCAGACTGATTCCCATGCAGACACCGGGGCCGGGGGAGATGGGGGCCCACCTTGCCCCATCTTGCTGCTCCTCTCATGGTCTTCTAATGTCCTCCTCTCAGCCCAGCCTTCGGTTTTCCTTTCATGGAGGCTGAGTCAGGTCCTGGCTCAGGCTGCCTGGACCATGGTGGCCAGCAGGTCCTCTTGGAGCAGGGAGAGGCCATCCTGATGCTCTTGTCTCCCCAGCATGTGGATACAGGCTGGATGGCGACGTGGCTCCAGGAGTGTGGCTGTTAGGCAGCTGTCCAGCAGGGGCCAAATGTCCTGTCAGTCACCCGGCCTCCACTGCTGCCACCCGTGACCTACACAGCTGCCCACATGTCCCTCCCTACCCCCCACCCCGTCCCGTCCTGCCAGCTGGAATATTGTATGTCTAAGTCCTGGCCTGACTGTGTGACTCTGGCCATCTCTGGCCCTGCCTGGGCCTCAGTCTCCCCATCTGAGCAAGGGGCCCAACTTTCTTGGGCTGTTGTGGGGGAGGTGGGATAGGCATGCTGGGAACAGGAAGAAGGGAGCCAGGGCCCCAGGGAGGTGAGGTGCGAGGGTTGCTACTGTGCTTAGCTCTGTTCCCTCACTCCCAACCCTTTGTAGCGTGGCCATTCTTATGTTCAACTCTTCTCAGAGGAGCCTGGTGTTGGTGAAGCAGTTTCGGCCAGGTGAGGCACGCTGGGGTGGGGTGTGGGGGTGGAGAGGGGGACTCTGTAGGGTTACCTTCAGGCCCCTGTGGTCCTGAGGGTCTGAATGCAGATGTGAGGAGGGGGCTCCAGGGAAACTGAGGCCTGGAGAGGGGTTCTGGTCCAGAGTGGGTCACATGGAGGTGGCCACCACATGGCTGTGACCATGGTCTGTCTTCCTCCACCCAGCTGTGTATGCGGGCGAGGTGGAGCGCCACTTCCCAGGGTCCCTGGTGGCCGTGGACCTGGATGGGCCCCAGGAGCTGCAGCCGGCACTGCCAGGCTCTGCGGGGGTGATGTTCGAGTTGTGCGCCGGCCTTGTGGACCAGCCCGGGCTCTCGCTGGAGGAGGTGGCATGCCAGGAGGCGTGGGAAGAGTGCGGCTACCGCTTGGTCCCCTCTGACCTGCGCCGGGTTGCTGAGTACAGGTGAGGCCCGGGGACAGGACAGATGCCTGGGAGGGAGTGAGCGCCCCATCCCCTGGGGGGTGCAAGCTCATGGACGGCTCCTTGTCTTTCAGCATGGGACTGGGGGAGGGTTGGATGGAACGCGCCTCAGATCTTAAGCCAGGCCGGAACCTGGGGCTCCGGGGCTCCTTCTGGAATATGCTCTGCCCCATGCCCCCACCCTGCAGCCCCCAGCCGCGTGGGGCCAGGCTCCGGGTGGCAGCTGCTGCTGACAGATGCCTCTACTTCCTGTGGGATTAAGCACCGGGCGCTGGGGGTGGGGGTGAGTCACAGCCCTGCTCTCAGACAGTGGCCCAGGAATGGGGGAAAGGCCCAGTCCTGGGCTGAGGAGGGCGGCTCCGGCTCTCTTGGGGAAGGGGAAGAAGCCAGAGCCTGGGTTTCAGGACCTCCCAACTCATGCCCCCCATGAGGCCCGCCGCTGGGGTTACCCTCCTAGGACAGGATGTTGGGGTGAAGCCTGTCTCCTGCCCCAGCTGAGGGTCTCACAGTGCACCCCCAACCCCCAATCCGAGCGCCAGCCTCTAGCAGCCTTCTGCAGAGGCAAGTGCCCACTCCCTCTGGGGGAAGGGCTCAGGGGTCTCTGCCACCCCTCAGCCCAGCACTTGAGGCACTCAGTATTGGGCCTGGAGCTCTCCTTCCTCAGCAGCCCCAAGGACCTCACCCAGGTTACCCCTGGCTGGGGGGTGGGCTCCATGTTAAAGGCGGGGTTTCCATGCTAAAGGGCCAAATGTGTTGGATGTGAAGGGCAGGTCTTGGTTTTCTGCAGGTGTTCTCCTGCAGTGTGGCTGGCAGTGCCTGCGGTACCCCAGCCTCCCAGCCTGTGGTACTGGAGGTGGGAGGATCCGAGGGGCCTGACCTTGCTTAGGGCTTTGGCTAGTGGGCCAGTGGGGCAGGCAAGGATGGAAGGCAGGTGGGAGGCACTGGGGACGGTTTGGGGTCCTCCTGGAGGAGGTGAGCCTCGGTGGAGTCCTGGCAGAAGGCCACATGCCAAAGGCCCACAGGCGAGTGGACAAGCAGCTCTGGCTGTGGTGGTTCCACAGGCAGGGCTCGGGGCTGTGGCCTGATTCTGAGGGTGCTGGAGAGCCAAGGAGGGTTCTGGAGAGTGAGCATCCTACTCAGATTTGCATTTTGGAGAGGAAGGTGTGACTGTGGGGAGGCAGGACCAGAGGTGGGGGTGCGTAGAGGTCAGGGCAGCCGTCCCTGTGGGCTTGATGGGGGGCTGGACAGACAGCGGAGCCCACCCAGCCTGTAGCAAGGCCTGTGGCTTCCTGTCTGTGGTGCCTGAAGTAAGCCAGTCCACTCACAGGTTGTCACAGGTGACAAGGGAGGCCAGGGGACTCGTATTGAGCACCCAACTCAAGACAGGATGGGATCGAGTAAGGTGAGAGCCTGCCCTGGGAGGGAGCGGCACCCAGCTTGGCCAGGCGTTTCCTTCTTGGACTGGGCCAAGGCCCAGTCTGTCTCCTTCACAAGCCAATGGAAGCTGGGGCTGGAAACCCCACAGACCCGCTGCTTCCATCAAAGGTGCAGGTGTGGCTGCTGGTAGAAACGGGCCATCAGGAAGGGGTCCATGGGAGATACGGGGCTGGAGGATGAAGAAGCACCTGGGGTGAGGTTGGTCTGGGTGGGCCCTGTGCCTTGGGGATGGGGAATGGAAGCCCCTAAATCTGCTCCCTGCCCCGTGTGTTAGGCACATCTCTGAGGGTTGCCTTCACCCTATAAGCCACTGGCTGGCCTTGGCTTATGCCAACCAACACCCCTCCTGGGGCGAACCAGGCCTCCCGTGCCCTGCACATTTCCCCAGACACCCATTGGTCCTCCCTTCTCCCCAAATGCATACCTGGTCCATCCCCTCCTATTCCAAAATGCAGCCAGGCCCCTCTGCCGCCCCATCCTCATGGCCAGCAGTCACCTCTGCCACCCATTGGTCCTCCCTTCTCCCCAAATGCATACCTGGTCCATCCCCTCCTATTCCAAAATGCAGCCAGGCCCCTCTGCCGCCCCATCCTCATGGCCAGCAGTCACCTCTGCCACCCATTGGTCCTCCCTTCTCCCCAAATGCATACCTGGTCCATCCCCTCCTATTCCAAAATGCAGCCAGGCCCCTCTGCCGCCCCATCCTCATGGCCAGCAGTCACCTCTGCCCACGCAGGTCTGGGCAACTGCCCTTGGCCTGTGTGCCTGTCCCCTCCTGGCTGCAAACAACCCTCCTCTCAACACTGCCCACTGAGTGAGGGGGCTCCCTCTCACCCCTTCACCTTGGAACCAATGGGCCTGGCCCTGGGAACCTCCCTGCCACCCCACTAGCCGCTGCTATGCCGTGAGCCCTGTTCCCAGGCCCGGGCCTCCTTGACACATGCTGTCTCCAGTCTGGAACTCGTGTCCTGTAGGTGCCTGGTGGGGTCCCTTACAGGCCTGCTGGGTTTGTACTTGGTTCCCAGCCAGCCTGGAGACGCTGGGTGCAGACTGGGGTCTGGCACGGGCCTCAGCAGCCTGGCAAAGGAGGGGACAGTGGGTTGGGTCCACCAAGGGTAGGAGGCCCTGGCTGGGGACCCAATAGGAGTGGAAGGCAGGGGCTGTCTGTGCTGCGGTGCAACGTGCCACAGACTTAGTGGCTTTAGGCAACACCTGTTGACAGCCTCACGGTTCCCGTGCGTTGAGAGTCTGTGTACGGGGGAGCTGTGCCCTCTGCTCAGGATCTCGCTAGGCTGCAGACAAGGTGTCAGCTGGATTCACGATCTCAGCTGGGGTGTGGGGTCCTCTTCACACGGTTGTGGCAGAATTCAGCTCCTTGTGGCTTGGACTGAGGGCCCCGTTTGCTTGCTGGCTGTTAGTAGAGGACTCTCAGCCCTTGCAGGCCTCTGCTGCATAGCCTCTCACCACATGGCTGATCGCTCTGCCTGCAGGGCCAGCGGGACAGTGTCTCTCTGACTTCCTCCATCTCTGCCCTGGAGAACCTCTCTTGAGAGCTCACCTGATTAGGTCAGGCCTACTCAGGATGCTCTCCCTTTTGACTGACTCAAGTCACACGATTAGGATCTTCAACCACGTCTGCAAAACCCTCCACCTCTGATATACAACATAGCCTTGTCACAGAATGAGGACCCCAGCATGTTCTCAGGTCTCCTCCACTTAAGGAAAGGGGTTACACAGGCATGTACACTGGTGGTGGCTGGGGGACCTTGGGTGGGACAGGGCATCCCAGAGTCCTGCCTACCGGAGGGCTGGAAGGAGTGCAGCAGAGAGGGTGGGGCAGGGGGCTGTGGAAGGGGCAGGGGTGGCTGGTGGGGCCACCACGGGTGGCTCAGCAGACCCTGTCTCAATCCGTAGGTCTGGAGTGGGACTGACCAGCTCCAGCCAGACCATGTTCTATGCGGAGGTGACGGATGCCCAGCGTAGCGGCCAGGGTGGGGGCCTGGCTGAGGAGGCTGAACTCATCGAGGTTGTGCACCTGCCCCTGGATGGCGCTCAGGCATTCGCAGACGACCCTGACATTCCCAAGACCCTCGGTGTTATCTTTGGTATCTTTTGGTTCCTCAGCCAGGTGGCCCCCCGCCTGGGTCTCCACTGAGTCTCCAGGTGGTCTGGACAGAGGCCAGTCTTGGCCACCTGCCCACCTGCCTTGCAGACCCAATAAATGTTTGCATAGCTCTAACCTCTGTCCCCTGGCTTCAGGATCTGTGGCCAGGGGCGGGCTTGGAGACGACTGGGAGTGGTGCAGGGTGGGGTCTTCCCCAGACAGGCCTCAGGGGATGGTAGGCTTTCCTCTGGCTGCAGGCATGCAGGTGGCTGCTAGGGAGAGCAGATGCTGGCAGAGGGATAAGGACAGGCTGGGGTGATACCGCAGGACGAGTGGCCAGAGGCAGGACGGGGCAAGGAGAGGTGAGATCTGGGGCTTGACCTGGCCGGATGCTCGGGGAGGGCAGTGTGACAGGCCAGGGGTTGGGCCCACTAGTCACTGGACCACAGAATGGGCTGTGTCCATGGGAGTGGTGGCTGAGCCAGCCCTTGGACGTCAAGAGGAGTGGACAGTGCTGCAGGCCACACATTTGGAGAGCATGCACTCCCTGCTCCTGGGGCAACTGAGGGGTTCCCCGCTCTGACTGGGGCTGTGCTCCCTCCCGGAGCGTGGAGCCAAAGCTGCCCGGGGTCTGGCTCTCAATAGTCCTTCCCTGCCCCCTGGGCCATGGGAGTCTGAGGGGTCCTCCCTCAGCTTGCAAAGCAGGCAGAAATGTCTGTAGGCTTGCCGCAACAGGAGGGGTGGGGGCTTGTGGTGGGGACACAGGGCCAGTAGTGTCCTTGATGTGGGTCCTGGCTCCAGGCACTCTGCAGAACTGCCTCAGCCTGGCCCAGGACCCCAGTGTGGGGGCTCTGCCAGTCTGTGTGTGGCATGGCTTGCCAACCCCACAGGACCCTGCCCCACACATTGCTGGCCTGGCCCTCTGGCCCATCCTGAGGGTTGAGCTGTGAAAGATGCAGGCAGCTTAGAGTTGCCCTCCAGGTCCCCAGAGTGTCCAGGATGGCAGGAGGCCCACTGCCCGCCTGTGCAGCTGTGTGGACTTCAGCACATGGTAAGGGATCCGCATGTGAACAGTGTACTGAGCTGGTGGGGAGCATGCACTAGACATGTGCCTTTGAGGGAATGGGGACCCAGCCTCAGGGACGTAGGGCCTGACCCTTTCTGAGGGTAGTGACCTGCCCCACCCTCCCCAGAGCCTCCAAGCCCTCCAGTCAGCCCCTCGGGCGATGCCCTAGGGGATGGGTCAGGAGGAGCCTGGGTTATGGCCCACTGGCACTGGGGCTGTGAGGTATCCAGGAGATGCTTCCCCCACAGGCAGATGGGGACCAGGGAACAGAGTGACCAAGAGCTCTGCTGTGACCTGACATTGCACTCTGTGCCTCAGCATCCCCTTGGACTGGGCCCTGGGCTGATGGAGTCCTGGTGGTGAGAGCCGAGGCAGGGCATCTTGCCTCTGGCTCCTGCTGGGACAGGGGTGGGGCACCTCACACTGGGCCCTCCTGTTCTCCCCTGCCCCGCCCCAGGCTGGCCCCAGGCAGGCAGGCGCTTTGTGTGACCGAGCATGGAGGGGCATCCAGGTGTCTCCCCTCCTGCTGGCCTGGGCTGTGGCCAGAAGGGCGCCTGCAGCAAGTGCTGGAGAGCCCTGGCGTGGGTCTGGCATCTGAGGCTGCTGTGAGGAGACTGTACCGCAGGGGTCCACTCAAGCAGCACCACCTGTATGCAAATGCTGGCTGAGAGCCAGGTGGAGCCCTGCGGGAGCCCAGCCTGGGGAATAGCACGGCCACTGGGGAGGGGCCCTCACCAGCCCTAGCTCTGCCCTGCCCAGAGGAGGCCCCAGCAGGACATCAACAGGGCAGCGTCCACAGGACAGGAGCTCTGCAGCCCACAGCCGCCCCTGCCTGCCTCCCTCACCTGCAGCTGGCCTGATGCCACCATGCCAGCTCCGTTGGCCCTCTGGGCTGACCTGCAGGTGCTGCCCGCTGCCCTGGAGTGTCTCTGGTGGGCACAGGGGGGATCTGGTGGCTCTGAAGCACCCTGGGGAGGGCTCTTGGTGGGAGGGGGCAAGGGACAGGGCACCTCAACGTGGGTGCAGTTCAGCGCTTCCTCTGATCTGCAGCCCGATGGGGCAGGTCAGCAGGCACCGCTGCTGGGCCTAATGGAGATGGCATTGATCTCCCGGCACTGGGGGGGGCTGTAACCGGAAACTCCCCTCCCTGGCCGCTATATTTAGCACTGCAGGACATGGGCGGAAGCACAGCTCACTCCCGAGCCCAGCTGGCTCTGTCCAAACCCCAGGCAGCCTGGTCCCCAGTCTGGGCCCCTGGAATGCCCTCTGGGGCCTGAAGCCCTCTGGCCAGGCTGAGTGGCCCCACCCTGTGCCTTCCGAAGCCCAAGCTGAGCACCCAATTCAGAGCATGGCTGAGTTCCTGATGCTGGGAATTCAGAAAGGGTGCCCCCAGGCTGGGTGTGGGTGCAGCTGGGAGGCTGTGGAGTGCCACGGACCATGATAGAGGCCTTCCTGGAGAGTCAGAGCAGCCTGGCCTGGCAAGGATGGATGCAGGAGCCCTGGCACCCACTGGGTCCCCAGCGTCTTGACCCCAGCCAGGTGCTGCGCCAGGGAAACAAGTGCATTATTTGACATCTGCATGGGGGGCAGTGCTTCCCACTGCTGCATCCCAGGAAATCACATGCAGAAGTCCCTGCAGGCAGGGGACCCTAGGAGGGAGCAGTCCCCCTCCCCAGTGTCTCCAGTGCCCACCTCCTCCCCGAGGCCACCTTCCCAACCTCGATTTTCTCCTGCACACCATTAGATCCAGGCTGTGGCTCCTAAGAATCAGGAGGAGACAGGGACCATGAGACGGAGGGGGCTTCTGTGCCCTGCAGGGAAGTGGAGACTGACCCCTTGGTACTGCTGTGAGCTGTGGGGACACTGATCTCACTCCCAAGGGCCTGGACGGAGGCAGATGGGGCAAACCAGCCTCTCCATGCCCCTGAGGCAGGACAGTCCAGCAGTCAGGGCCCCAGGATGGCTGCAATCGTGCCTGGCTGAGCTTGAGGGGGAACAGGCGTCCCTCAGTGGGGGCCTCTGAGCTGAGACACCTCTGAGCAGGAGTAGGCACGGCTGGAACGCACCGCTCCCGCTCGTGAACGAGCCCCATCTGTCAGCTACGCCACTGTGTGGACCGGGCTGGCGAGTCCTTTCCTCCCACAGGTGGCCCAGAGCAGGAAGCCAGGGAGGTGGACGAGAGGGGCATGTGGAGGAATGGTTCCCTGGATCCCCCTCTTCAGCCCCTCCACTGCCACCACCCCTCTCAACTGCACTGTGACCATGCCCTGACCTCGCCCCTGCACCCTCCCATCCCGTAGCCAGGGATCATTGTGAAAACGTAAGTCACCGTGCAGCCCAAGCCCGCCGCCTTTCAGTCCGTGACTTCCCGTTGGTCTTACAGGAAGACTCTGGAAGTCATACCACCAGCTTTGGGTTGGCTGCCGTGTCTTTCTCACAGGTCCTTATTAGGGTCTGGCTACTTTGGCCCCAGGGCCTCGACACATGCTGTTCCCAGCTCCTCACCTGGCTGACCCTTGCCCACCCTCTGAGTCTTAGCAGGGACCCCCGCCCTGGTTTTGTCCCTGTCTACTTGGCCTTACAGTGTGTTGCTTTACGTTTTCTCAGTCCCCTGCCCACCCTGGACCAGGGGCTCCTTGAGGGTGGCAGGGGCTGTGTCCACTTTTTTCACTGCTTGGCCGAGGGCCTGGCAGAGGCACTGGGGCCTCCCTGGGTAGGGAGGTGGTGGGCATGGGCAGGGATGGAGCCCTGGGCCCCGGGAGCTCCTCTTGGGTCCTCCCTCTCTGGAGTACTCAAGAACCTGCCTTCAGGCCAGAGCCAAGAGGGGCATGTCCACAGGGAACCCCTGCCCCGCAGGAGGGAGGCAGCTGGAAGGTCTGAACACAGCTCGAATTCCCTTATTTGGCGAGGGTCTGTGTGTGGCCATGCCTGGCTTGTGTCTTAGGGCTCAGGTGGGGGTGGGCGCTCTCAGTGGGCAGGGGGGACTCCGGCCCACCCCTTCAGGGGCCTCTCGCTGCTCCTATAGGCCTGGATCCCGGAGGGCACTGCCACACAGGGACGAGGCAGGTGAGCCCGGTGTGGGTGTGTGCGGCATTCCCAGGGCATTGGTTCCTTTATACAGGCTGCACCAGCCCATCCCAGAGAGGGTCCTGCTTTGTGCCTGCCTGCATTCTGCCAGCACCCAGCCCAGGGTCCAGGGCAGATTTGCTGGAGGAGCCGTGGGAAAGAAGATAGTTCAGATATTGTGGGGGTGTGGCAGGGGACTCATCTGGACTGTATGGGGATTTGTAACCACCAAGGTGACTACTAGCTCCGAATGGGACCCTGCTCAGTGGAGGAGATGGGATGTTTGGAAACAAGGAGCCCTTGGTATTGACCCCGCGGAGGAGAGGCAGGGTCACCCAGAAAGACGGCAAAGAAGTGATGGCATGATGGCAGAGGGGTGGGGCGTGAGGACCTGGCGACCGGGACAGCGGGAAGATCCTCTTTGGGCAGCCTTAGGACGTTCGCCACCGGCCTTTATCCCCCCGTTTCCCGTCCCCCAAGCTTGGACCTCTGGCTTGGGCATTCCTCGAGGGCGTGGCCTGGCGGCCCCCGCGCCAGTGTCGGGCTGGGCACACAGCCTGCACCAAGGAGCATTTGTTGACTGTGTCCTAGACTGGCGCGCATTGTGGAGGCGAGGGCAGGGGCGTGCGGGGCTGGGGCTGAGGTGTCGGAGAGGAGCAGCGCCCCCTGCAGCCGGCGTGGAGGCGACGGGAGCGGCGCAGCGCGGGGGAGATTCCCTGGGGAAGTGTGAGGCGCGCAGCAGGGACTGGGCCCCGCTCTGGTCCCAGGGCCGCGCCCGCCCCGCGTGGGGGCCGAGCCCTGATTTGTGCAGGAGGCGTTATCTCCTCTGAGACGCCTAGGAGAACGGTGGTGGCGCACCGATGGGAGGGAACCACGGCGGCGACCTCGGGGGCGCCCCACCCTCTGGTTCCTGATACCCGGCGGGAACTGGAGCCGAGGGGAGGCCGCTTTGCGGCGCCCGCCCGGCGGGAGCTACTGAGCGGCGCCTGCTGTGACGGCGACG